GAGGGCTGGGAATACAGCAAATAGCTGATTGCGAAATGAGGCATGGCTAAAATGCATGATCTGTTTGGTATTTTGAAAAAAAAACTTCACAGACATGTTTTATATAGGTATGGCCCTACAATATATTAATCAAATATAGCATGATAGGTCCACTTTAAATGGAAATAATTGGATAAGTGAGAGAGAGTGTTTGTGTTGGACGATGTGAATAAAGGTAAATACCTGAAGCTCTTGCAGAGACTGACCAGACATGCTAAGAGGAGGAACTCTTTCTGCTAGAGTCGCTTCTTTCTCCTTTAGCTTCTGCTCCGTCTCGTCCTGCAGCATCTGAGCTGCCACTGTCAGAAGTCTGATCTACAGAACAAAACATCAAAATAAGGAAATGACTTTGAGCTTTTATTGGGATCTCTTGACCAAGTAAAACATAGTCCTCAATATCCAACGTTTTTACGAGTTTAGTACATTTAAAATAAAAATAAAAAGCTATATTACTATTGTTCTTAAAGTGCATACAAAGTAATGCACTCCAATGTCTCAAGACAATTTCATCATAATTAATAAAGCATCTAACAGACTGTATCTCAAATAAAGAAAAACGTACCTTCAACCCCAGCCTTCGAGAGGAGGAGATCTTTGATTTCTGTTTCTATAATTCAAACATAAGAAACACTCCATATAAATATACATACAGCAAATTGCATATGATCTTTTTTAAATTGCATTTATAGATAGAAAAACAAATAATAGGGATTGAAGGAAAGAGATTGAATACTCACTCTGTTGAAGCATTCACAAAGAGAGAGAAAAAGATGCCAACTTAGTTACATATCCAAACATAGTTTACAGTATACTAAGGTTATCAATCAACACAAACAAATAAACCAGAAGCAATTATACTCACTCAGCCATGATTGTCTTTATTTCCCGCACTAGAATAGGGAAAAGAAAATAAGTATTTTTGCAGAACGTGAAAACGGTGACTTTGATAACTTTAAACCAACATGCTTACAGAGTGAAGTCAGCTGTTTTCTAAAGATTGATGATTGTTTTAACCTCCCATGTCAAAGTATTTCAACCCACCCCAAACATTCACTGGCCCATTATGCCGGCAAAGAGTTATTTACTGTTGCCCCAGCGCTGGTTTACGATTGTTGTGCTTTTTAAACTAAACTAAACCTACCAAAGTACTTCTGTCATAATTTACATTTAGCTTTCTAAGTAATAACCCAGAATAATATACTTCATCCAAATAAAGAGAATCAAAAGGATAAAATGATTATTGTTCCAAATGTAAAAACATTAGAGTGATCCTTAAAATTGAAAGTCGGAAAGTCTAAGCTCCAACCCGCAGAATTCATTCTATTAGTCAAGAAAACTCTCCTGGGGAATTTTTTCCTCAATTTGTCAACATTTACCCCTCCCTCATCAACCTTGAAGTTTGCAGTTGCAGCACCGTGGCTGCTGGTGTGGCAGCCCAGGTTGTCGAGGGAGGGGTAAATGTTGTCAAATTGAGGAACAAATTCACCAGGAGAGTTTTCTTGACTAATAGAATTAATTCTAGGGGTTGGAGCTTAGACTTTCCGACTTTCAATTTGAAGGACCACCCTACGTGAGGCTAGACTTCAAGGTTGATGAGGGAGGGGTAAATGTTGTTGGAATCTGAATAAAATTCACCAGGAGAGTTTTCTTGACTATCATAACAAATTTCGCTGGTTGGAGTTTAAAATAAATGAATTCGAAAATGTACATGGCACTACGGACCACCCTAAAAAACATGTTACAACTAAATGTAATTATAAGTCCAGTGCAGATTTAGTATGCATCGGTTTAGGATACATCTTCCAAAAATGTAAAAGCATTTGTGTCACATTCAAAGTGTGTGCCGGATCAGTAGACGTGCATAACTCACAAGAGTCTCTGCATAGGTGGCAAAAAAGGTTGAATGGCCAGATAATCCATAGGCATGCAAACTGACAATGTTATAATTGACGTTAATTACAACAGAATTCCAATAATACAACAAAGTCAAGTCAAGCAATAATCTGAATAAAATATTTTCCTTATTACAAGTTAATTGTTTTATCTCGCAGCATGCTGAGAAATTACTCCCAATTCCCAGATGATGTCCACATGCCTACCAAGTTTATTCTAAAACATACAAGCAACTCTGTACCTTAGTGAAGCTGAAACAACTCCTTAGGCCTCCACACTGAAGAAAGGTGCGTGTGAGGGAGGCAGCAATGGACTCCTAGACTACCAGAAATCAGATTTATAGTGTCATTGCCTAGTGTGAATGGCCCACAGAAATAGACTCCTCTCTGTCCACCAACAGTGGTATTTAGTGCCGCACATAGCATCCCCACAATATCACACAGGAAAGGAGGTGATAAAACTCAAACACTTGAGTATCTTGTGTAAATTAAAAACACCTGTTGAGGGAAGTGGCAGTGAGAATTTAAAGAGACATTACCCGCGGACCCTCTGAGTGCATGCTGGGTCGGCGTCACCCATTCACATTTGACCGGGGCTAGTTTTGGGAAATTTGGATAACATTGTTATGGAGTCAAACAGAAGGAAGAAATCAGTGTAGAGTTTCAGCACTAAGTGGTTGTGCTAATTTATTAATAGAACAAACAGCTCTGTCCAAGTGTGATCTTGACCGCCTCAAGATGTCCATCTATAGGCATAGCCTAACTGAGACTGTTTTAAAGACCATATCACATATCGGTTTTTCAATTGACCGAAATCAACTATGATATTGCTTTGTTCATTTCCAATTTTCCAATTAATCAACAAAATGGAGATCTAAATATTGCAAATCAATGAGATACTGTTATTTGTCCCCTTGCACTAATTGAAATTGAGCTATTTTATTACTTTTACTACAGCATCCAATAAGTACGTTTAAGTAACTGCGGTATTTAAAAAACCCACAAACTATATAGGATACCTATGTAATTTTAGTTTTTGTCCAGTTATGGTTACACTTGTATTTTAAATGTAGGCTACTGTAAACCAAAAAAGAGACAAAACAAACAATAAACTAAGTTGACTTTGACTGATAGCATTATTTTTCTATAGATATCTCGATGATAATCCTGCAGATAAAACAGATATTGTGACAGCGTTTCTGAGAACACATTAAAGGACCACCTTGGAGGTCAAAACAAAGCCAAAAATCAGTCATGTTTTATGTAGTCGAGCAGAGGAACACAGACAGGTGCTGGTCAGGACTTGATGGTTTGTAAACTGAGCCGCCAAGGGTTCAATCTGCGTCATTGTTGGAACAGGGAGTCACATGGTTCAAAGGGCTGCGACTTATGCTCTCACGTAAGGACATATCGGCACAGAACGATTAAACAAAAATAGTTCTAACCTGGGGTCAAATACTTTTCTAAAATATAACCTTGAAGTAATTGCAAAAAGGAGTTTTCAAGTAATCTAATATTGCACCTCCGCACAAAAGGCAAATCAGACGAAGAATGGTCAGGTCTGATGTGTTACAGCCTACATTTCCCATATTGCATCAATCAGCATCCACTAGTTTATGCTGCATTCACACAATACCCGCAACATCTCCTGTCCTTCTAACTTGAGTTTTAATGCTTTATGAACTTCAATGCTAGCCAGGAACGTGCACACATAGACACTTTTTCTTCCTCCAGAGAAAGTGCCCTTTTTCACCCCCCTTTTTTTAATTTTTATAAATGAATATATATATACTGCTGTTTGCGCACAGTTTCCCTTTACAAAAATATATTGATTGAATACAAAATATCAGGTCGGGAGATTAGACTGTGAAGTTCCGTAGCCCTCCCTCCCTCCCTCCATGTCTCCTGCACAGCGGTGCGGACATCGGCAGTCACTTCAGACAGACAGGTAGCAGCACCTCCCACTTTACTGTCCCATGTTATGCCGGCTTTTCTTGGCTTATTTTGAAGGTGAATGGTGATGAACAAATTACTAAACTGCCAGTGCCTCGAGTTTACAGCTAATTAGCTAAAAGACAATAACAAATACAGTTAACTAAGGTAGGCTAATAGCTAATGGATNACAGCATGGTAACAGCATGGTAACAGCATGGTAACAGCATTGTAACAGCATGGTAACATGACGCTCGTGCCAGGCACCCCTCCTTTGCAGGGGGGGCCACGCCCCCCCTGCAAAGGAGGGGTGCCTGGCACGAGCGTCATGTTACCATGCTGTTACAATGCTGTTACCATGCTGTTACCATGCTGTTACCATGCTGTTACCATGCCACGGCAACCTCTCATTCCCCTGATTGGTGGAGAGTTGCCCATATAGGCGGAGCTCCTCGTTTCTGACGTCAGAGATAT